CGGCCGGCGGCGTGGTGGTGGGGGAAGCTCGAAGTTCAAATTGATGCGCGCTGTAAATTTTGCAATATCTCGGCTTCTATTCACCGTAGAAACTTATTTTTAAACTGGGGTAGCTTGACGAAAACATAACAATGGGCATATTTACGAATTCGTAGAATATCCATGAAACCCAGAAAAAATGCATCTTTTATACTTAATTTTTTTTAATTTACAAAAATGTCACAAAAATTATTGTTAAACGAAATATTAATTAAAATTTCAATTTTGGAATTATTTTACTATTATTAAATCAATAAATGAAGGTATCGTTCATTTAAAAAGTTTATTTTTTTTCATATTAAGCCAAAGTAAACTTATTTTTTCAATATTTTGTTAGTTATTTAATTTGATTTAAATGTAAAATTCACAAATTATTTTCGTTTAGTAACCGATTTTAATTTAACAAGTCTCATTTTGTAGATAATTTTACTCCCTACAAGCTGTCTGTGAGTCACTTTTCGCTAAAGTTGATGATTTTCCCTGCAAAGTGAAAAAACTGTTTTCCTCACTTATTTGTTTAAATAGAAAAGTTAACTAATAAAAGTTTTTGACTCACGAAATGAGAGCTGTCTTGTATTATGTTCCTTTAGACAATTTTACAATAATCTCGCGGATAGGACTTTTTTCGAGTTTCTTTTTTATTTTCGCTAATTTTCCTGGTGTAATTTAATTCTTGCAACAGGCGATTTTGAAGAGTGTGAGTAAGTCTAAGAGAAACATATTGTTGTATATTGTAAATGACTGTAAACGTTCTTGTAATATTATTTTTTGTTTGTGAAACTGTAAGAATTAAAATGTCTCCTCTATTAGTCCCTTAATAAGAGAAACCTATAATTCAATGCTAATAAAAAAACATAATTAATTCAACTTAGTTTACTTTCATCGTAAGATATTCCGAATCACGTGCTTCCTTAAAAAATTTAAGACAATGTTGTTGAGTCAAACTTTTAGACTTCCTGGGTTGGTAATTTACAGAATTCTGGTTCAAAAATGCTGAAACTTTATGAAAATTATCAAAATTAATATTTTCCTTTACTTTAAAAGTGCTTTTCAACATTGAAAATTCCGACCATAGTGTACCTGAATTTACAATCTTTGATCTTTCTGGTAGGTAAGCCAGAAGTACAAGTTTTTGACTTTTTTTATTCCCTTTCCATTTATTGAACAATTCATAATACTTTTCGTACCATTGTCTTGCCTTTGTAGATAACAAATTCAGAGAAATATTGCTAGCTTCCCCTTGCAAGTCCGGTGGAGTATTCCTAAATTATTCGTGACAGTCTGAGCTACCATTTCATTTTGACTTATTCACCGAATTACAGTTATTCGCAACTTATTGTTATTTTACACTTTTGTTTGTTTTGATTCCAAATTTTGGTTTAAATTGACATTTAATGAAGAGTTGTTATAAGTTATATTACTTTCGGTACTGTCTACATTGTGCCACCATTTCTTAACTTTGTGTTCAGTGAAACTGATTATAATTTAGATTTTGAAACGAATTGTTTCGACTGCCTTTTTCAAAACATCACTTCTAATACCCTATTTCTACAGGAAATTACAAATTGAACTGCTTACTAAACAGCTCATTTAAGTAGCGTACTATAATAATTACAAAAAAAATATAATAAATCAAATTGATAACGGAAATATTAAATGGTGATGATGTAAAAATCAGTTTTGCCAAATATGCAGAACTAATAGATGCAATGAATTAGAAATACTTTGTTATTTATATCATAAATAGTGTTAAGAAACAGTGAAGAAACTGAAATTTTGGAAATATTACTTGTTTCGTCATCGTTATTATTATAACGTGTACAGGGTGCGCCAAAAAAAATTACGACAAAATTTTACACGAGCCTATCGGGTGAAAGTGACCAATTTGGGCCACACCGTATAAACAGAGTAGTGTCTACGCAAGTCTTTTACCGTTAAGATGAACCTCAGCGCCAAAACTTGTTCAGCACATGTCGTTATTTTTTTTACTAATTTACCCGACGAAATACAAGCTTAGATAGAGGATCGATTGGGTCTATAAATCAACGCCAATGGAAAAGAACGGCGTGAGAAATTTACCGATTTCTTAATTGTTTCAGCTTTAATAATCTAGGCGGTAATTGAAAGATAAACACTTTCAATTTCCGTGTAATCACCCTGTAATCCGGCTTATTAAAATCTATCTTAATATATTCTTTTTATAGTCTAGTTGCGAGAAATCATCGTTTATTTAAAGTGTGATAAATTGACACGGCCAGTGGCGTAGGCCGCTGTTATTTATTTGGTGGTATTGTTTCCTATTATCTCTTCTATTATACAGGGTGATTCAGAACTTATCCAAATAAAATACTGAATGTACAGAGTTAGGTAGTCACTATAATCTGACAACTTATTGTGAATTTATTATTGAAATTACAAATAAGTTTTTAATACAAAAGTTTTAGCTTTTTTATAATACAGTATTAGAAAAAACAATTGAATAACGGAAATCACTAAATTAAATATTTTTTTAATGGAACATCCTATATATTAGTGCATATTTAGCTTCTTTAAATTTTTCTCTTTTCAAAAATATATAATATGTTCCTGTTTGATTCAGGACTTTTCGACATATTTCAGTTTAAAACTATTTCTGAAAAAGCAAAAGGGAAATTTATGTCTTAAGTTATGCGTTTATTTTACAAGAATAATAATAATGTGAATGCAGCGCGCGCCGAGTATTCTCGTTTGAATCCCGGGTTTTCAATTCCATCTCGAGCTGCATTTTACGACGTTGACCGACGTTTTAGAGAAACAAAATCAATTGGAAGACAGAAACGAAGAATTATTCCAAATAAACAATTGGAACTAAGTAACTATATTACTATATTTTCAAGGTAAGAAAATATTCATTCGAGGTTTACAATGGTAAATTCAACTATTAAATTATTGTAGAAAGGCCACAAGAGTCCACACTAAATGCTTCAAGACAGTTAGAAATAAGCCAAAGTAAAATTATTACGACGTTACATATATAAATATAAATACCGCCCCCATAAAATTATGCGGGCCCAAAATCAAAAAATTCAGCAATTCGAGTACTGCAGAGAAATTTGACATACCTGATGAAACAACTGTTCAAAATTTTGTCCACCAACGACATTTGGACCCGATTTACCCAGTTTCTACGAAATAACACAAATGTTGTCTTGCTTCACCATAACACAAATGCTTCACCATAACACAGATATTATCTTGCTTCACCATAAATTAAAACGATATCCATCAACTCCGAGTTGCTGTACACGTAAGTCACTTTTGACACTTGAAAAACTAATGTAAACACTATCGCGAAAACGTTAATACTAAAATCGGAATTCAGTATTCGGAATCGCCTAGGGTCACGTGGAGAGAAAGAGCGCACAACGCGAATGACGCTAGAGACTACAATAGCCCAGCTATGTAAGGATTGAAAGTACTTCAACTTCAATAATTTTTGTCTCGGAAACTATAAGGATTTTACAAAACATTTTTTTATGATATTGATTTTTTTTGGATAAGTTGTGAATCACCCTGTATTTATATATTTTGCCACTTGAACATATATTATAAACAGTAATATCGTGTGGAATATTCAATTAATGTATAAAGTAGAAGTAAAAAAAGTCAAATGTAAAATAAATTCTGCACCATAATCTGCTAAGTAGCAGTTGATCTACGAAATTAATGACATGTATACGTTTCTAGATTTTCTAGTCGCAGCTTCAGGAATATAGAAATATCGACCAAAGATCTTAAATTACCGAAATGTTGAATCCTTTATTAGCCATGCAATAGCCTATCGAATTTTTAAAAATTTCAGAAGATCTCTTTTTAAATCTTATCATATCCCAGTTCTGATGTGACGTATGCCTTTTGTACTTGCTAATTAGTTACAAAGTTTTGAGACTTCAATCTAAAAAGTTTTTAATCTTCTAATACCATTAACCTCAAATTGATCTAATTATTTTTTTTGTTCAGTAATTCGTGAACTGTGAACCGCTCATTATTCATTGTTGATACAAGATAGTTCCCTGCTTTCTCTTCATCGTAGAATAAACCAGTATTAGTTGTAAGGTGCGATAATTTTTCGGATTATGATGCCATGGTTACAGACTCACGTTCTTAGCTTTAGCTAGAAATCTTTAACCCGCCCTTGTTGGTCTCAGGCGAGGCTCTGTGGGGCAGACCCGCCATCAGGACCCCTACTACCGCCCTAATATTCATTTCCGCTCTTGTTGTTGGTTTTAAGGCCGCTAATGATGGAACCGTCGTTCTTCACTGTCGACATCTTCAGTTGTGACCCTGCAAAAGCTTCGCCGCGACTGAGATCCTCAAATATATATTTTGGATGCGTGAGACATGTATTTTAAGACTGATACGGTGCAGTTTCATTGCAGTAGGTATCGACTGAAGAAAGCCAGTGGCGTCAGAATTAGGAGGGATTCGAAGGGGCTCAAACTGTCCAAAAAAATGTTTTTGACGTAAATAGGGATTTTTTTATATTTGGAAGGGCCGTTTCTACCATGATTAAAAGTACAAGATTATAATACTACTGTGTTTCGTTTTCCAAGGATTATATTTCCCAACAATCGTTTTAAGAAAATTGGCTGTCTCTGTTGCACCCTCTAATCCCTTTTTACGAATTATTTCCAATTTCGTGCAAGTCCGACCGACTTTAGACAAACACATCCGAAGGTGCCCCTCTCGAAGCCACGCCGCTGCCTTAAGATCTCCAAACTGCCCGTGGTTCCGAAAAGAGCCGTTCGATAGCTCCATTAGCATGATGATGAGAACGAGCGTCTCACAAAAAAACTGGAAGGAATCGCAAAAAATCCCTAGGAGCCCCGAAGCGCTATAACTGTTCTTCCAGAAGATCTGCTTGGTCACTAACAATTTAGCTTTCTGGCAGTATCGTGTGTGACTGTAGAAATTGTGCGAGAGGTTCTCATCGTTGTCGTGCAGATAATGCTCTAGTGTTGAGAACGGGGGAAATTTCGCAAAATGAGGTATGTTTCTTTCACGTTTAGTTAAAATCACAGCGTATTCCGTAAAATAGCTAAACTGTTTACTGTTTAGTCGATTAGTGAGCAGTTAAACAATTACCCCACAATTCCACAATGGCTCCAAAGACTTGAGTATCGAATAAGAAAGCAAAAACGGTATACAGGGTGTTTGTTCTACAAGCTCTATGACAAACTTTGAAAGAGGTCCGATTCGTTTTCGTTTAGCATTTTAAAATATATAATTTCATATTTCAATCAAAGTAGACTGATAAATAAAAATGATGGTTGCCACTTCTAAATTGTTTTGGAGTAATTTTTTGTATACTACCACTTATCTTTGAAGCGAGTTCTATTCCCGTTAGAAATGTATTTTAATGCAAATAAATAAATACAGATTCTAGAAAAAAAAAGCGTAATAATTTATATAATCCCATTTAAATGATCTACTTCCAACCATATTTATTTATATAAACCACGAAAAACGCATTTATTTATATAATCCAAACAGAATAATCGAATAATTATGAATTAATTATTTCGTCATACCGCAAGGCTTACTATCTTTCTTCTTTCTTTTTTGCCCTGAATCGGGTGAAACCTCAAACCATCATGAAGCGTTCCGCGATCCCGCGGCTTTTTGCCGCCTGTTTTTGCGCCAAAAAAGCCTCTTTACATAACGTAGAAATCGTCTACGGTCAGGACAATGACTCCTGGTTCTCCATTAGAATAATCGAGACGTCAACTGTTATCAATCGACTGTTTTTACAGCGCCTACTTTTCACTACGATTTTGGTATCAAATTGTGTAATACAGGATGCGATTGGAACATCTATTCCCTTCACTAATACTTATACGTACAGGTACAATACAATGAAGCTCAAGTTACAATTTTTAAACTTTAGCTTGCACCATTTTCCTAAATTAATTTTTGGGCGAATGTCAAAACCATTACTCAAAATAGTGAAAGACCTCTGCTTGTGGTTTTAACTTATCGCAGCTCTCTTTGTTTCAGGAGCCAGCGCGGACTATGGACGACCATGCTACTGCTGACGACGCTACTAACCACACACGCCACGGACGAAACAAACGAAAGCTACAAGACAATTAACGGACGCCCAGGAACAACAATAGACGATCGGAATATTCTCACGTACCGCAAAATATTGGCAAACAGCGAGGGAAGAGCGACAGATGTGAATACGCCGACAATTAAGGAAAACGAAAGTGCGACGCAATCATTAAACGAACAAAAGAACGACGATTATTTTAAAGTGAACAGTACCCACGGTAGTGAAAGAGAAAATGCTGAAGCGACTGCTGATGATGGATCAGATAAAAATAGAAACGCTTCTAGAAACTCTAAAGAAACTGGTACAGATCTAAGACAACAACGCAACGATGACAAAGAAATCACCAGCGATGATCTAGATCAAAGCCGAAATAGGACGAATGGTACTAACGACTCCAATCGTGAGCAGAAAATATTTGGGATAAACAACAATTTGGGATTCGTGGAAGAGATACATGTTTTCCATGAAGAGGGAGAGAACGAGGAGATAGTAGTGGAAATTATAGATGAAGATACTGATGATGACAAAGCTAGGGTCACCCACATTCATTTGGAAGAAAAGGAACTGGACAATGCCGTGGAATTTGGGATGCAATCTGTGGAGGATTTGATCAGGGTGAAGGAACCATTGTGGTACAACATGGGTGAGTCAATGTTTTCATTAAATGTACAATGCAATCTCTGCGTTTTCTTTTTTGTACAAAAAAATTATATTGTAAAATGCAGCTACTTTGATTATTTGTGAGATCTAATTTTGTTTGTTTTTTTATATACGATCATACCAAAAGTGATAGTTTTTCTTTGCTTCGCCATAACACAAATGTTGTCTTGCTTTATCATAAAATAAAACGACATCCATCAACTCCGAGTTGCTATGCACGTTTTTGACAATTGAAAAACTAATGTAAACACTATCGCAACAACGATAATACTAAAATCGGAACGACGCTAGAAACTACAGTAGCCCAGTGATGTAAAGGTTGAAAATACTACAACTTAACAATATTTTTTTCTCGGAAACTATAAGGATTTTACAAAAAAAAATTGTACGATATTCACTCCATTTTTCATTACGCATCTATTGCCAATTTTTTTTGGATAAGTTGTTTATAAGAATCATACAGAAAGAATTCATACAATTTTAAAATAAAAGCACCACACCGTCACAAAGTAGACTCGTTGCATACGATTTCTTACAGTACTAGTAGACACCTGCATACATTTATGTTTCAGGCCTATTCCTGGACAAAGCCGATCCCGCCAGCAAAGTTGCAGCTTTTGGAAAACCCATAAACGATTTCGCCTTGGAAGTCTCAAAATACGGATTCCTAACCTTAGAAGCCAGCAAAAAAATGGCGGAATCGTAAGTACCTTTACTTACTTACTACCTATTCTATTTATGTACTTGCTGACCCTGTAGTAAGTCGACAAAGACAGTTGCGCCGCATGTTGTCGTTAAAGCAATTATTCGGCAAACGAATCTAATTGATTTTTTTAGTTCATTCTAATTTAAAGGTTCGCAAAGCGAGTAATATTAATAATAGCGTTGCTAAGGCAACGGAGAACTGAACTGGGACGCCTTTTTTCGGCGAAGTTAATGACCCCAGATGGATTATAATTACATATTTCCTCAGGCGCCACATTGCGCCGTTCCTTACTTTTATTGCTTCAAACAACGTGTGCCAAAGACACCAGCTATTTGGATAACACCAAAGGAAACCAACAGAGTTATCAAATTATTATTGTTTTTACTAATTTCATAAAAATATTAATATACCATCCCCGTCCCGCACAAATCCTTGGTCTCTGGGTCTTCGACGGTTCGCGGTTGTATAGAGGTGACGACTTTTGTGGTTTGTTTCTTTATTTCTCGTACATATTCCACGAGAGCTTGGTAAACATTGCGGTTAGAAGTTCGAACGGAATAGATACGTTAATTAGACGTGACATCGGGCGTTTCTGGTTCGACGGTCGTCGGCGGATTTGATCGTAATGTTCTTTACTCCGTTTCGCAACGGATAATCATCGTTACGTGCCATGATTTCCTGCGTTGGGTTGTGCAACCGTCAGATACCGAAAACGTGTAACCGACGCAGACCTTTTAGCGGATCCGTGTCACAGCGATGTCTCTTTTATGGACAGAGTGCTGAGGTACGCTTTTCGATACGTTAAAAGTAACACTGGATATTCGGAAATTAACAAACAACACGATTTTACCATATAATTGACTTACGTCGACGTTGTGACGTCTAAGTAACGTTTGGAAATACTTCAAAGATACCACGGCTTGATTTCAAGCGTTTTCGAACACAAAAAACGTTCTTAAAACGTCAGGAAAAACAGTTGCTTTATAATGACGTACAATAGACGTCTTTAAGACGATTTTTCGCTAAATAACATATTGTTGATGGCTTTGCTGATTCGAGCAAGTAAAAAAGAGTTTTCACGAACAGAAAAAAATATTCTTAAAGACATCGGAAAAGGTAGATTCATATAATTTCTTCACAGAGACGTATAAAAGACGTCTACGGGACGATTTTTCAGTAAAGAACAGATTCTTGATAGCTGTAGACAAAAAATTGCTCAGAAGACGAAATAGAGACAGTTCATTTATGTTTCAACATAGTATCGCCAAAAAGACATCTAATTTTCAAATTATGACTGACGTAAAACATATACAGGGTGTTCGATCTAAGAGGGATTCTTCTATAACTCTGCATGCAATTTTCTTTACATGGCCCACATTATTCCAAGCAACATTTATTAAAACCATTTTTTTATAAATTTTATAGTTGCAGAGTTGCGGAAGAATCCCTCTTAGGTGGAACACCCTGTATATTGGTTCAGAAGACGTCTAAAAGACGACTATTGAATAATTTATCATTAGAGAAAACTTTCTTGACAGTTGAAAGTTAAGAAATATCTTAAGAAGACGTTAATAAGAGCCTTTTAAATTTTTTCTTCTAAAAGAATTCAGTTAATTAAGAATTCAATTTATTAAACACTTTTCAAGAAGCATGACAAGCGTTGTACTTAAATTTGTTCAGGAAAACGTCTAAAACGCGTCTATTGAACAATTTTTCTTTAATTCATAAAAATTCATGTACTGAAAAAAGCGTCAACTAAAAAAGAAACAAGCTCGACAATCTATTAAGAGTCGTACAAAAAATGACGTCGAGGAGACGTCTCTTTCTTAGAGATCAATTCATGAACGGCATATGTAAATGGAAAATATTTCTGTACTTCAAAGTTTCCTCTGCAGATGTTAACAAAGTTCAAAGAGAGTAATATAGACGCTTTTCCTCAACAGTTTTCAACTTGTCACTATTATTATATATAGGGGAGGGCTAAAATTGCAACACAGCCTTTCACAATAAAAGTAATATCACCCGGTCCAAACGTCATTTTATTCTTCTATTCTTAAATATCAGCAAACACTTCAGTTTCTGTAAATGCATCTAGAACGATGTTATTGCAGCAAGAAATGGAAACGGAATTCAAAATGTCATCGTCCTATTGCAAGAAGACTACTAAAAAACTTATTTACAATGTTGAACTGTTTATCATGGTAGTGATTGTTATATGAGGCTTCCGTATCCTCGAGCTCCCCCATTATAATTCTGTTTAAAACCTAAATTTAACATTCACCTCTGGCTTTGTACTTTTTTTGTTCTAATTTCGGTGAAATACCTGAACCGGAATTCGCGAGTACCGCATTCAAATCATTCCAACTCTAAATGCTCTCTTAACTTCATTAAACAAGAACAAACGGACTTGTCTTCCGGGAATATCCTCAGCTGGCGTTGCATTAAATAATAATCAACTTCGACTTCAATTAGAGCTGGAGCGAAATCGATTTAAAAAACAATCAACTGGCGACGGGGTCAAACGGTACTTTGAATCACATTTAAGACAAAGAGTCGTTAGCTCGGTCTACCAGGGAGTTGACGAATCTGGATTAATTATAGTGAGAACGTCGTTAGGCAAAGCGATTTTGTCACAATGTCGATATTTTAATTGTGACAAAATGGACGGACATTCGTAGTAAAAGGGATTTCATGAACTTCATAGACACGAATAAGCAGGTGATTATTATATTTCATAATGAATGTTCACGTTTTTAATTTCAGTTAAGTGTACTTAGGCGGGGTCCATCAAATTACATATTCATTTAGAAACTCCAATAATTCTGAAACACAATGGGGATTATTAAGTCTTTACGAGGTTTTCAAGGTACGTAAACAATCTTAATCGTTTAATTAACAATGATAATAAAGCCTGCCTCCCAGCGATATAAATTTTACTGCCTCGACGTAAATCTGGTCTTAGTGGCCGTTTGGGCGACAGATTCGCTATATATTAGAGGAGATGAACTTCTTTAAACTGTTATTTGGTTCGTACAGCACTATTAAAACGAATTTAAGACCTCAGGTTTTATAATAATTAATTTAAAGTACAAGGGAGGTTCAGAAAGACTCCAGTCAGGTGGAGACAAATCTGGACTACGTGGTGGATGGGGAAATTCGTTGGAGCCTAGATAGCAATAGCAATTGGGTTACAATTAGGCAATGATTGTCCAGAAACGTAAAACTGTTGTTTAAGAAACTGCACACTGATAACACAAATAATTAAAATGGTGTTCCGTAAGGTACCTAAGAAAGCGAAACTTCAACTTTTTGTCTTAAATTTGCAATGACTTCTTCGATGGCATATATTTCTTCAAGAAAATAATAATTATGAGAATATTTGGGCTAGAAACTTTCGTTTGGATATGGTGCAAAGTTCCTATAAATAGAATCGACAAATTATTATTATGAGGCATATAGCCTCATAATAATAATTTTTATGAAATCCATCTGTGGCGAACGATTTAATTAAAATAATAAAAAATTAATTGGATATCTCCCAGCTAATTCGGGGCCCGATTTCTCTAGATGTGGAACTTAGATAATTATATTTGGTCTAATACAAACAAATTTGAATCCAATTTACACAGACCGAATCTGAGGAATGTTCTCCTTTCGATTCAATGGTTATTATTGAGTGCGTACAAAAAACGTACAATGCGTTTCTAAATTAATGAATCAAGTTTGTAGTAAGAAATAGACATTTCGTTATTTATTATAACAACTTTTAAAAAGTTTTTATTAGTATCACGTTAACATCAACAAATGTACATTTTTATAAAAGATGCCACCATATTGATAGCGATACAAAGAGCATCAGAAAGAAAATTGAAATTGGCCTGTCTTTTTAAAAAGTTATTTTGTAAATTGGAAAGAGAGATACTGATCTTTTTATTGAGTGTGACAAAACTTGTCAAATGAGTCTTTCTTTTTAGAAAAGTCTCTTTCCAATTTGAGAGAGACTTGAAACTTAGATAATTGTTGTTACATCACCTAACATAGACCAACCCCTTACCTTGGTAATAAAACATATTCAACCTGGATCAGAGAAGTGCAGACGTCAGATGGGAGCCCCTCTTTTTGAGAGAATGTGCTATTTAAAAACGTAATATAACATTTCTTTTTAGTAAACGCCTTGCGTTTTTCCTTTGTTATAGAGATTGATGGAACTAGTCAACGTCCTCAATGACTGAAACACATGTAGTAAAATTGTAAACTATAATTCTTATTGAATAAAATCAAGATACGGCGTACCAAATTGAAGAAATGCCTCAGAGGCCTCTTCTAGAGAGGAAAAGTATAAATTCTTAAACGAGACTCTCTTTTAAAGGGAATCTTTCAAATTTGAAAGATAAAGTGTTTCAAAAAACAACAGCAACTTTAGAGCTTTCTGTTTCAGAGAGGCATCTTTTAAATTTGAGACAAACTTTTTAAAAGAGAAAAACGCAAATTTTAAAATAAGCCTCTCCTTTATAAGAATTCGTTTAATTTGAAATACCCCTCTTTCTTAGAAATGTATATTTGTAGCAAATGGGTAAAAATACAATACACAGGATATGTTATTTAAGAATACAATTAATATTGGAATGTAACCTGTTTCAAAGTATGCTCTTTTCTTGTATTTTCTTCACTGGTAGTGTACTTGAAAAATATCACCTTCAATAGAACATAATTTGATAGAGGTCTCTCTTTTTAGAGAGTCCTCTTTCAAATTTTAGATACTCTTTTTAAAAGAGGTATAGAGAAGTTTAATAACAAATGGGTTAAAAATACAGAGGGTGTGCTATTTCAAAACAAAAATTAACATCAAAATGTTTTTAAAATGCTCTCTTTTTAGAGAGTTCTCTTTCAAATTTTAGATACTCTTTTTAAGAGAGGTGTAGAGAAGTTTAATAACAATTGGATTTAAAATACAGAGGGTATACTATTTCAAAGTAGAATTGACATAAGAATTTTT